CCTTACAGGCATACCTTTCTCTTTTTTCTACTTCTCCTAACTGAAGTTTTCTAGCACTGTTTGGCTATATCATGTGTTTTTTTCACATTTCTAGAGTCCTTGTTTCTTACATATCTTTTCTCCCTCTTCCAATATAGAGCAATTTGACCTTCTTTTGGTCTTTCTTGTTCCATGTCATTCTACTAATTATAGCAGAAGTCTTACACATAGCCATACAACAAAAAAGTCTTCCTTTTAGGAGACGGAAGAGTACACGTAATTTATTTAGTGCAGTAGTAGAGACGACACCTTCCTGGAGAAAGACACACTGCCTAAATTAGCACTGTAAGGTTTTATTATAGCCCCTATGGAGATATGTTCTGATAGTAATTCATTTCTCAAGATCAGTATTGTATTGAAGGTCTGTTTAGTGACACTTCTTTCTGCAGACTTTGTAATAGTCCCAGTGGGGAGGCAGCTAGTCCTAGACCATGACCCCACAGGCATTTGATGTTCATTCTCTCAGGCTGTCTTACTACCATTCAAATAATTCCATGCCTGTTTTGCTGTAGAAAACAGTCATATGTTGTGCTAAGAATCAATAGGTATTCAAAAAAGTGGGATAGTAAAAGGCAGAAATGTCATAGAATAGTAATCCACGCTTATATTGCCAGCTGATTTTTAACATGTCAAAATAATTTGCTGAGAAAATGTTAACAAAGTTTAGAAACAACTGTATATTCATATCCACATTTTGTTTTGTTTTGGTACCAGGGATTGAACTCAGGAACTTGTGCTTGTAAGGCAGGCACAGTGCTGCTGAGCTAAATCCCTTGCCCAGTATATCCATATTTTTAAAAATGAACCTTATTCCTTATCATATACAAAATTCACTTAGGATGGGCCATAGACCTAAATGTAAAATCTTTAGCTATAAGTTTTCTAAAGAAAAATATGAGAATAGTTTTTTGCGCTGGAAATTCACAAAAATATATTAGCATACAGAAAGCACTAATCTTAAATTTTGATAAATTAGACTTAAGGAAAATTAATAGCTTCTGATTATCAAAACAAAATAAAAAGTATAAACCAAAGCCTGACCAAAATATTTTTAATGTTTGTATTTTAATGTATTTGACTATATTCAATATCTGTTGCTGATAAATAAACACATCCATAACTTAGTGTCTTTAAATAGTAGTGATCATTTCTTATTTTTCATGCTTCCTGTGAATCAGGAAGAAGGAGCAGTTTGGCTAGATAGTTCTTGCTCAAATTTTTCATGCTGTTGCATTCACATATTGGCTGGGGCCTTAGTCACCCACCTTAACTAAGAATGAGGATTCATTTTCGAGGTAACTTGTATAATAAAATGGTAGTAACTGTTGATAAGAACCTCAGATACTCTAATTCTCTCTAGACAGCCCTCTCCACAGACATCCTTGATTGTTATATTCACATGACAGCTGACTTGCCTCCAGCAAAGCACGTTGCCTTTTATAATCAGGCCTCCAAAGCTACATGTTATCATTTAATTCTATTTTATTGATCCTACAAACCAACCCTGATTCAGTGTAGGAGACTAGGACTAAAAAAAGGTGTGGTTACCAGGATGCAAGGATTGACTGGGGTCATTGTGGAATCTAACTGCCACACCGACAAAGGGATATAGCTCAGTGGTACAGGGCCCTGACTTCACTTTCCAGTCTGGGGGTAGAGGTGGGGACAGTCTTCAGTATGAAATAACGCATGCACAAAAAACAATAAAGAATGACCCACAGAAGAGAAAAAATTAAAAAAGTATACTTGAGGAAACACAGACATTATACTTACTACTCAAAAATTTTAATTCAGTCATCCTAAATATTGCCAAATAGCTAAAATAAAGAGGGTTATGAACTAATAGAGACTATCAATAAAGACATAAAAATTATGAAAAGACACTGAGTAGAAATTCTGGAACTATAAAGTACAGTAGTTGGGGTTAAAAAAAATCAGTAGAGAGGTTCCACTGGCAGATTTGAATAGACAGTAGGAAGTCTCAGTGAACTCACGTCAGGTCAGTTGACATTTTCCAGACTGAAGCAAGGAGGAAAAAAAGAATGAAGAAAAATAAACAGCTTAAGAACAGCTACATTTTAAAATGGTTACAATGGGAAAGTTTATATGCATTTTACCCCAACTTTTAAAATTGTAAAAAAAAAAGGGGAGATAAAATTGAGAATCTGGAAGTAAACCCACACATCAGTGGTGATTTGATTTTCAACAGGTGTGCTAAAATCATTTCATGATGAGAGTGTAGACTTTGAACAGTGAAAATGAAATGCACAAACCATAGAACAAAAATAGGTAAACTGGCTTCACCAATATTAAAAACCTAGTCATTAAAGCCCTACTAACAATAGCCAGGCATGGTGGTGCACATCTGTAATCCCAGCACTCGGGAGGCTGAGGCTGGAGAATTGCTGTGAGTTTGAGACCAGTCTGAGCTACATAGTGAGTTCCAGGTCAGTCTCAACTACATAGTGAGACCCTGTCTCAAAAACAAAAACAAAAAAAACTAATAAGACATTTTAACAAAAAAGGAAAAAGACTACACATAGAATGAGAGAAAAATATTTGCAAGTCATATGTGTGATAAGATTATCCAAACTCTATCAAGAACTCTTACAAGTGAACAAAATGATAACCAATTCAAAAATGGGCCAAGGACTGGAGTAGGCATTTCAGATGTCCAACAAGCACATGAAAAGATTCACAACATCACTAGACATGGATAATCCAAATCAAAGCCATAGTAAGATACCATCTCACACCCATGAGGATGGCTGTAATTTTTATATCAGGTGTTGGCAAGGTTATGAAGAAACTGGAAACTTCTTAGGTTGCTGATAGGATTGTAACTGGTGCAGCCACTAAGGAAAACAGTTTGGCTGTTCCTCAAAAACTAATGTAGAGGCCAGGGATTTAGCTCAGTGGCACTGCACCTGCTTCACAAGTGCAAGGTCCTAAGTTCAGTCCCCAGTACCAAACAAAGATAATAATAATAATATAGAGCTATCATATGATGGAGAATTCCACTTTTAGATATATTCTGAAAAGAATGGAAAACAGATACTCAAATACTTGTACAGGAATCTGCATACCATGGAGCACTATGTTCAGTAGCCAGTGTAAATAATCTAACCATCCTTCATCATGTGATGTGGGTAAACCAATTGTGGTCTGTATGTACAGTGGAATAGTATTTGACAATAAAAAATGAATTTAAGTACTGATTCATGCTACAAGTGAACTTGTAAAACATTAAGTGTTTGAAGCCAGACACAAAAGACCCACATATTGTGTTATATTGTGCAAATGGTAAATTTATGTGAATTATATTGCAACTGTACACACTAAACTTTAAAAGGAAAAAAGAAGGATAGGCTATTTCAAATTAATGGAGACTAAAGATACATGACAACTAAATGAAGTTCATTTTTAATACATCCTGAAATAGGAAAATAACTATAAAGGAAATTATTGGGACAGCTAGCTAAGTGTGCAAATTGGATTAGATAATAATATGTATATCAATATTACATTTCCCGGTTTAGAAACATGTATACTGTGGTATGAGACTATTTGTTCACAGAAGTGTTTAATTGTAAAAAAGCATGATGTCTCAAATGTACTTTCATAGTAATATAAAGAAAAAATACATGTCTATAAAACAATAAAGTGGGATAATATGATGGTGAATCTTGATTTAAAAAGTATGTGCTAGTTCCTTATAGTAATCTTTCAACTTTTCTGTGAGTTTGAAGTTATCCAAAATTTTTAAATTACCAGTAAAGTTAGATTTGTCTTTTTGTTATCTTCTGAGCAGCCATGTGGCCCAGGTAATTGTTAGAAAAATAATATAAGGTTTTTGGCTTCAACTCAACTTCCACCTCACTCTGTTTCTTAGCTTCTGCCTTCCAATATGTTATTTATTTTAATTATGTGTCAGAATTTCTCCATAGTATTACATTATTAATTACACAGATTCTATACACATTTATGTTATGAATGTGGGTGCCTATTATCATGTTATTTTTTTCTATTCACATACTTTATTTTACAGCATCTTGGATTATATGAAAATGTAACTGTTTCCTTTATTTTGAGAAATTTATTAATTTTTTTGTTTTGTTTTTTGAGACAGGGTCTCACTATGTAGTTGAAACTGACCCGGAACTCACTGTGTAGCCCAGGCTGGTCTTGAACTCACAGTGATCCTCCTGCCTCAGCCTCCTGAGAGCAGGGATTACAGGTGTGCTCCACCACACCCGGCCTTTTTTTTTTTTTCTTGGTCTCCAGGATTGAACTCAGGTCCTTGCGCTTGCAAGGCAGGCCACGGAACTGCTGAGCTAAATCCCTGGCCCTTCGCCTGCCTATTTTAAAAAATTTAAATATTAACTTTTCACTAAATGGCTCTGCTGCCCTACTTTTTTGTGTTGTTGTTCTGTTTTTTGGTTTTTTGGTTTTTGTTTTTTTTTTGGTACCGGGGATCGAACTTGGGCCCTTGCGCTTGCAAGGCAGATGGCAGAACCATTGAGCCAAATCCCCGGCCTTTCAGTAGCTTTTTGGATGTAAAAATTTTTTTTAAATTGCTTGGTTAAAAAATCAAGTGAGGTTTAAGATTTAACCTTAATTAGGGCATTTTGAACTATATGTTCATTTTTTTATTGTCAGATCAAAGAAATAATCTTCGAATGCCATCATGCAGGGCCACATCTGTTAGCCACAGATGAAATCAAAGAAGCTCTCTCTTAGCATCCACAATCAAAACCTAGTACAGTTTTTTTAGCATTCACTTGTGGCTTTTTGGCTGTCCCTATTTTTATGAATAAGCAAATATCCAGTAGGGGCTATTTGGAATAAGTTTATCGAGAAGGTCATGAGAACTGACTTCATGATGATTCACGTGGCCCTTGAGTTTCCACTTGGTTAACCAGCTTTCTTTCCTTTGTGGTGTATGATGGCATCTCTACCAGACAGAGGTAACCCATTGGATGGGTGTGTACCTGGATGCTGGTGTGGTGGTGTTTGTTGGTGCAGTTTTCGCGATACTCCTCCTGAAATTATGCCTGCAGTGCTGCCTCTTATTTGTGCTTGCATGGGATTATTTACTTTGATTGTGCTTTATTAGTTTGAGTTTTTAAAACCTTTTGCTCTTTTATTTTGGTACTCGGAATAATTCCTTTTGTATCTTTGGTTGGTCCAGAACTTATGGAAGTTTGTTCCAAGTGTAACTCTTTGGTGGATCCTTTTCAGTTTTTGAAACTATCTTCAGTGTTATTGGTAAGCTTATGCTTTGGTTAAAAAAAAACAGGATAAGTTTGGTTAAACATCTGTGAAGAGACCATATGTGAGACAGCCTATTCCCGAAGCTAATATTTAATTTTCTTCATGATTCACAGATTAAAGAAAAGAAAGATATAGTAGACTAAAAGCTAAGATTTGGGAGTTTCATTAAATAGCTAAAATTTGGGAGCCTCTGATAAGGTAACAATAACTATGATTGATTCCAAAAACTAAGATTCTTGAAGTCATAAAATAAAAATTTAAATTAGTATCTCAGAAATTAGTTTTCTGAGCCTTTATATGGACCTTGGAAATATGTAGTTGCTTATCTCTTCATTTCTTCATAGTTTTTCTTGGGCACTTGGGTCTAATTTATTTGAATCTTTTCCATTTGTTTTTATTTATTTTCTGCCTTCTATACATTTATACAACAAGTTAAATTATTTTTAAAGCTAAGAAAATACATTCTGAAGTGGGTTTGTATATGTTCAATGTCAAAATTATTTTCTAATATTCATATTAACCTGGTATTTAAATGAAAAAATTCAACTTTTGGTCTTAGAATTTTTATGTTGAAAACTGTAAAGGATCCATTGATTTTTTTTTTTTTTGAATGGCCATCAAAAATTCTTAGGGTAAACAGCATAAAATTGTGAGTTAAATGGTGATTATTGCTTACTATTTATATTCTAACTTAATTATATCTTCTTTTTATATTTTGGTGGAACCTATACATTTAATAGAAAATTTCCCAGGAACGAGAAAAATTTGCCGATGAAGGCAGTATATTTTACACCCTTGGAGAATGTGGGCTCATATCCTTTTCAGACTACATTTTTCTTACAACGGTCCTTTCCAGTAAGTAGTTTTTCCCTTTTATTTGTAGAAATTGTATGGGATTACTAAAAAGAGTTAATTCAGTTGGTTAAACGGGGAGCAAGATTGGTTGGTAGAGTTAATGAATTATAAATTACATAAATTTCATTTGTTTTGAATTTCCTGTAATTCTTGTGTAGAGTCACCTGAAAGAAAAAGAAAACCTGAAATATTGGGTAAAGTTACCAAAAACTATAAAGTTTCATTTACTTGTAACTAAAGCTTTCATTCTGTCAAGATGAATCATGTATTGTGCACACATAGTCTTTATTAATGTTACTACTGTAACAAAGTACATTTTGATCTATTATTTCCTGCATTAAGGAAGAAAATAGTCTCATTTGTCCTAATTGTGCCTTTTGTGTGCATGGATGCATGTACGTGGGGAGGAGGATGTTAAACAATGTCTCATTGTGTAGTTCCTTCAGGCTGGCTTTTAACTCACTCTGTAGCCCACGCTCATCAAAAGCTTTGCTAGAGTGCTTTAGGACTAGGGAACGTGTGGTAGAATGTTTATTCATCTGTTAAACAGCGGAGCCACAGAAAACCAGCCAGACAATGTACAAGGAAAACATCATCACTCAGATGATATAGGACTGTTGTATTTCAAATTAATTCTTTTCTTTTGAAGTCAGTGTACTCAATGTTGTTCAAGCAATCACCATCATTTTGAGTAATATGACACTGCTCCAGTGGCTTGAACTTGGAACACCGGAATACTTTACAAGCTTTATTATGATGTCTAAAATAAAATTCCACAGCTATAGCAAATCATTCTTTTTCTTTGGAGTTACCTTTTCTAAAATAAGAAAACAGCCCCACTGACTAGAGTTAGTTAATTCATTGAAACTTTGTGGAAGGTTAATTTTTCTAAGTAGAAACAACCAATGTAACAGAAATAAATGTGCTTACAATAAATGGCATGAATTTCTGATTCTTCTCTGAACATGATCTGGATAATGGGCCTTCCTAAACATTTAAACATCTTTTGCTCTGTCTCATATATACTTTCACACATATACACCTCTTAAACTCCTTTTTGCTTTATTTTTTCTTCTTGAAACATCAGTTTCACATTCTATGTAATTTACTTATCTTAATTGTCCATTTTCCAACCTAGAATGTAAATTGCCTAACAGTGATCATTAAGTTTGTAATGATAATCACTACAAATATATTTACTGTACACAGAGTATCATGGCAAGGAAACACAAGGATATTAAATATGTTGGGTTTTTTTCATCTCATAAAAAACGTTTTGCAAACCTTAGATTTGCCTTTGCTGTTGATATTTTAAATTGAGAGTAGACCTTTTGGATGTCTTTTTTCTGTTGCTGGTACTAATTGAGTGAAGGAAATGTGTTTTTAATTAATGTATATTGAAACAAGCTTGGTTTCTTATAGTTTAGAATTCTTCTATTTGTATCCTTCCTTAGTTCTGATTTATAATTTGTCATTTATATCTCATTTCTCTGGCCAGCTTGGCCTGATTAACTTGAAGGAACTTGAGCAGGAGCATCTGTGTTAAGCAGAATATTAAACATTTGAGGGCTGATCAGACCCTATCTGCTTGTTGGGAGAAACAATGAGGAATGAAAGAAAGAGACAGAGACAATTTTCAAGATATAAGAGAGGGACCTGGAAGAAACCTGCATCTAGCTTAGAGACGCGATAAACGCCACAATTGGCCCACTTTTATTAGCTAGTGAGAAGCATGGGGGGAGCAGCAGTACACGTTTCATGGGACAGCAACTATAGAGAATGGGTGGATAAGGATTAAGTTAATGAGGAAACAGATTTTCTCTGTGCCCAAATGCCTGTATTCTGACAACTGTTCTCAGAAGATGCTGTCTTGCCTCAAGAGTGCTGGTTTATCAGCATTTTGCCAATAGCCAGGGAGCATGCGGCCTTCCCCATTTTTCCCCGTTCCTGAGTCAAGATAACACTGACCTCAAGACTGTGACATCTGAGTTATGTAGCCTAGTCCCCTACAGATTAATACTCATTAATAAAACAAAATCAGATCCATTCTATAGGCAATATGAAGAGATGGTTATAATTTCCACAGAACCTGTGATCCTTAAAGTAGTTCATAAGAACTGATGGGAACACACAAACATGGCTGTTAATGGCTTAATTCTGTACACTGACCAACCACAAGGTCAACTGGTAGTCTTAAGTCTTACAGTAGAAGTCAGAAATTTTTTCCCCATAAGTAGGTATTTAAAATGGTTATCAAGGACCAGGGATTTAGCTCAGTGGTTCCACTGCCTGCTTTGCAAGCACAGGGTCCCAAGTTCAATCCCTGGTACCAAAAAAAAGACATAAAATGATTGTCAAGATTTATCTGGAAAGCCAAGCATGGTGGCGCATGCACAAGGCTGAGGCAAGATGATGGCCATGAGTTCAAGGCCAGCACAATCACCAGTCAACTACACAGAGAGACCCTGTCTCAAAAAACAAACAAAAGATTATCTGGAATTCTGATTATTATTCATTGGTTTGGACATTCTTACTAATACTATTATTCACTAGACAATACCAGTACAATTTAAATCTGGATCATGTTATTGAGTTATTAAATACTTACTTTGTATCCTTGTCTTCATATGTATTCTAATTAAAGTAATTAACCCTATAAACTAATAATATTAAAATAATTTTAGATGAGGGATGGTGTGGTAATAAAACATTTATTAAAAGTTGATCATTAAGCAATTTCCTTTTTATTTACTATATTATTCCTTGAAAAGCCAGCAAAAGCAGAACATGCCAGCCACGGCATGTTCAATACTCAGGGTTTTCAAGTTTGGTTGTAGACCTAATGAAAATTAGGCATAAATTCCATGCATTCTGATTTTGACTCTTTCAGATTTCAGAGAATCAGTGGAGAAATTGGTATTTTCACTAGAGCTGGATTTGATTTAATAGAAATTAAACTACTTCTTCATTGTGCTGCATCTTTCTCACAAAAATACAAACCCTTGAGAAATTACAGCAGTGTTCAGGAAAATATTCTTGCCTTACTGAAGTCAAGAACTGATCACAAAGTGTATGTGATTGGAAAGCGTGATGCTAATCTCTTCTGCTCCATTTAATGGAAATGACCTTATAGATGAATACGTTTTTAAGGTTAAGTGATCTGTTGAAAAATATGGACAAGGCCTAACAGTTGAGATTTATCAACAGATAGAAGGAACTTTCAAATCTTTAGTGAGAAAGTTGGGAAAATTGTAAAGAAAATCTGCTTTAGCTTATTATCTTCATAGTTTTTTACGTGAGAATTGCCTGCCATTGCTAAATTGAAATTATGAGGAGTAAGACAAAGAAGATGAAAACTAATCTTTTCTTTCAGTGTTATGTGAACCTATATGAGGTGATTAGAATTCCAGTAATACTTACTTGCATGCTGTATTATTTATCAGTAGCTTCCTTCTCTGGCATTAACCTATTTCTGTGGTTAATTCATTGGTTTTATAATAATGTAACTGTCTGTTAGTAAAATAATGCTTTTAAATATGTCAAGTATTTATAAATGATATTCATTTTGAGGCAGATGTATTTGAGAACAACACTCTGCCATTTCATTAGCCCTAGTTGTTATAGAAAATTGAAGTAAAGACAAGATCCCAGTAATGAATGTAACTACTGTATACCTAGAATGTACCAATAAACTCAATAAAAAGGAAAAAAATTTAAAAAAGAAAATTGAAGCATTTACACCTTTGTATCACCATGCCAGATGTTTAGTTCAGTTTAACAAGAAATAATTCTTTTTTCCAGTATATACATTTTATTACACAGAATATTAGATTTCATTGTGGAATTTTCATACATGCATATAACATACTTTGATCATACCCATCCCCTTATTATTCTCCCTTCTTATCCCCTACCCATTCCCACATCCCTTTCCTCTTCTCTAATAATCTCCCTTTCACATTTATATCACCCCTCCTCCCTGGCCTCCCAGGATTCCACATTCAGGGGAAAAAAGCACTATACTTCTGATCCCAGTCTCTTACAGCGTTTCTTAACTTCTGTTTCATCTTCCTTCAGGGCCTACCCTGTCCTGTTTTATTGATGGTTGGGATAGCTCTTTAGGAATTTAGCCTTCAGTGATTGATGATGCTAGCACTTTCACAATGGGGGCCTTAATTTGTATGTCTCACTGCCAGGTGGCTCTCAACTACCAATGGTACATGCATGACAGCATGAAATAGTCCAATCAGGTCGTACAAACTGCTCAATGGGACAGTCATGCATGTACCACTGATCATTCAAGCCTGTGGGTACATGTTAAAGACTGTATTTATGGTCTGTAAGCCCCAAGTTTTCATATTTTTTTAACCTCATGAGCTGGACTTGAATCAAACATACTGGTCTATATATATATAGCTGAACCTTTCCCTGAAACCCACAATTTAATATTTGATTATGCTTATGCTTCACCATGTGTGACCTGTTTATTGAAGGGTACACAAAATGAATTGAGGCAAGAAATAGTAGTTGTCATGGAATGATTTGTCTAATTAGTTCTTACACTAGAGAAGGTATCCAGCATAGCACCTGACACACAGAAGTATTCTATATATGTGTATTGGCTAAATAAATACCTAAGAATGTTTTCTGAATAGGCACAGTATAAATATGTGTGTGTGTGTGTGTGTGTGTGTATACTAAAATTTTATATTGTTCCAAGTACCATTAACATCTCGCTTAATATTTAAATTTGTTTTAAAGTAATAAAAGTAGCCAGGCATGGTGGCACACCTCTATAATTCTAGTACTTGGGAGGTTGAGGCAGGAGGATTTCTATGAGTTCAAGGCCATCCTGGGCTCTAGTAAGTTCAAGGCCAGCCTGAACTACATAGCAAAATTTTGTCTCATACAACAAAAAAATAATAAAAGTAATAGCTACTCTGTATATATACATGATGAAAGCTAGAAAATTAGAATAGCTGAGAGATTTCTATTTAGAC